TTTGTAAGTTTGACCACTTACAAAAAAATTAAGGGTCTATAATTTTTATGGTAGGTTTATTTTAACGGATAGAGACAGAATATCAACAAAAAAATCCAGAAAAAACACATTATATAAAGGTTATAAATTGACTTGCATTTCAGTAAGTAAAATAAGTATTTGATCCCCTACCAACCAGCAAGAATTCTGGCTCCCACAGATTGGTTACGTGCCCAAGTGGAACACAGATTAGTCCTGTCACTTTAAGAAATTACTCCTAATGTCATCTTGTTATGAGTATAAAAGAAACCAGTCCATAGAATGTGTATCTTCCATTCAAACCTCTCCCACCACCATGGGCAAGACCAAAGAGCTGTCAAAGGACGTCAGAGACAAGATTGTAGACCTGCACAAGGCTGGAATGGGCTACAAGACCATCAGCAAGAAGCTTTTTGAGAAGGAGACAACTGTTGGTGTGAATATTCGGAAATGGAAGAAATACAAAATAACCATCAATCGCCCTCTGTCTGGTGCTCCATGCAAGATCTCGCCTTATGAGGAAAAGGATGGTCATGATAAAGGTGAGGGAACAGCCCCGAACTACACAGGAGGAGCTTGTTAATGATCTTAAGGCAGTTGGGACAACAGTCGCCAAGCAAACCATTGGTAACAAACTACGTTGCAATGAGTTGAAATCATGCAGTGCCCGCAAGGTCCCCCAGCTCAAGAAGGCACATGTACAGGCCCGTCTGAACATCTAAATGATTCAGAGAAGGCTTGGGAGAAAGTGCTGTTGTCACATGAGAACAAAATTGAACTCTTTGGCATCAACTCGACTTGCTGTGTTTGGAGGGAGAGAAATGCTGACTATGACCCCAAGAACACCATCCCTACAGTCAAGCATGGAGGTGGAAACATTACAAAATCAGTAGGGGATCAAATAATTATTTTCCCCACTGTATATACCAGAGACCAATATAAAAAATGTTTTTGGCCAATTCGCACAGCCCTAGAAGAAAATATGATCATTTTTCTTTTCTTTTTGAGTAAGCATTTTAACTTAATATACAATTTTTGAAACTTTTCAACAGGAGGATGTTTGTAGTTCCAACCCGCTTCCAGGCTTCCGACAGCTGGAAAAGTTCTGTTCTCTGCTGGTGGAGATTGGTCTGACTGAGGACAAGTTGAGCCTAACAACAGAACAGAGGAACAGGCTCATCGAAGCATGGAGTGCTGTAGAGGAACACGACAAACAACCACCAAAGTTTCACCAGCTCTACAAAACACACTGGGGTAATGCGCTTTATTGTCGCACAGAGAGAGACGATCTTGCACTGGCCCAGCAAGACATCAGTTCTCAGCACAACAGGCTGATGTACACACTAGTGAAACTTCTCTGGTTGGGGTCACCGCACAGTACTCCGGCAAGCCCTGTAAAAACCACCATCGCAAAAGCCTATGAGAGACTTCAGCATCGCGTATTGGTAGAGGATCCGGTTCTGAGCATACTGGGAATACCTTTGCCAAAAATTGACACCAAAACAGTCTGTGATTTTATCCGCCGGCAAGAGAGACTCCTCAACCTGCGGTCGACTGAATTGCCATCTGCTGCCGTGCTGAAGACCATGTTAATCTCTTCAAAAGAGCTACCTCTAGCTCCATGCCAGCCGTCCGTTCTCCCTCCACCTGACCTCCCACAGATAAAGTTTGAACACATTTCAAGCAAAGCAGGGACCAAGGTTTTAAAAGGAAGGACAGACACTGCGATGCCAGTTCCAAAGGCTCTGCTGCCATTACAACACAGTGAGTCTGCGCCAATTCCCCACTTACTACTGCCGGTCAGAGTATCTCGTGTGACTGATTGGAAAACGCCAGTCACTTCCATCATGATCAAACCTCTAGCTAAAATCGCTTCATCTGCCACACGAGTGATCCCAGCTACTTCCACCAACACAACACCAGTGACGATGTCCACCAGCCAAACTGACACATCACAGAGTATTGACAGCCCTTCAGCCTGGGCCAGGGCTACACTGTATAAACGGAAACATACAGGCAATCTTACAAATGTTGGAATCAAGAAGTCACGTGTACAAAAATTGCCTGTTTGTACACTATGCAGCCAACCAACTCAGGGACACAAAAAATACAAGAAGAAGACTTTTTGCCCTGTAAAAATGATGTCGACCTCAAAAGGACTTTGCAGCAGAGTCTACTCCAGTTACGAACATTTTACCTCAGTTGTAGACTTACGGCAATAAACTTGGGGTGTGTTCACACTTGGCATGTTTGGTTCGATTAAAACGAACTCTGGTGCGATTTCTCTGTTAGTGCGGTTCGTTTGAGTAAGTGTGAACGCTGCCATCCGAACCCTGGTGTGCACCAAACAAGTGGACCGAGATTGCTAAAAAGATGGGTCTCAGTCCACTTCCAAACGAACTCTGGTGCGGTTCGAATGATATATGAACGCAACACGGACCAAATACTTCTAAACGAACCAAAAAGTAATGACAAGATGCGATGCTATGCGACATGAGACACTGTGTAACCAAAACAAAATGAGCGGAGGGCAAACGTGGAGCAACGATGAGGTAAAAGTGCCTTTTATGAGCTCCTTGTGAGTTTGCAGGTGGTGAAAATAAAATTATATGTACACGCAAGAATGAGCGCGCTTAGTCCAGCAGACGGCTTTAGGTGTGTTCGACTTAAAGCGGCGCTGAGTAGACCGATCGGTTAATCAGTGCTTTGATATCATACACCCGCAGCGCCGCTTTAAATCTAACGCACCTTTTGTTTGGGGTGTTCTGTGAGTTCCGTCACGATATATACGTCATTCAAGCCGACCAATCAGGTTGTGAACGTATCACTATGCCTTTAGGTTTGGTGTCTTTAGGTTCGCTGTCAAAAATGCCAATATGAACGCTAAGCGGACCAGGACCAAATGTATAATTTTCCTTTTTGGTCCGGACCAAATGAACCAAACGAACCGAACTACAAGTGTGAACACACCCTTAGTGTTCTTTTTTTAAAAATGAAAAGTTACATTTGAAAGGTGTATATTGTTTACACTGAAAATAGTTTTTTTTAATTGATTACTGAATTTATATTCTTATTTGATATGTTCCATTTTTTGTAACTACATAGTGATCTGTTGTAGTGATATACAATAAATATAAAAATCGAGTTTAAAAAACTATTTCTGTAATAACAAACGACTGCGATTTGGTCCACACTGACCAGCGCTGAGAAAAGCAACTTGTGCCATGTGACAGTCCGCTATATCTTCGATCAAGTTCAGTAAGAACTTCGAATTGCTGACAAACTATTTCTAACGGTGCTGAGTACTTATTTAACTATTAAAGGGGTCATGAACTGAGAAACCAAAATTCCCTTCATCTTTTGACATATAAGAGGTCATTGTACTATAAAAACATTCTGCAAGTTTCAGAACTCAAAACTTTGTTGTTAGTCTACAAACGGCTTAAATTGAAAGCAGTATGTCAAAACGACAGCTTGTGGAATGTACAACTCTATGATGTAATAGTGTGGATAAGCACCGCCTTAAATGGATTCTAAATAGTATGATCTATGAAGAAAAATTTGTACTAAACAATTATGACAAAATTATAAAAATATACAATGCATGTATATTTTGGACTGTACACCACTGGGTGGTGCTATACAACGAGTCTACTTTTGTGAAGTAGTGGGTAAAGTATGGGAAATTAGTATTGGGTTGGCGTCTTTTTCCAAATTACTCGGACTTTGTACATTAAAGACACATTTCTGCATTTGAGTTTTACAAAGATGTCTTTTATTTTGAGACAGGACTAGATATACATATGTCAAACATTTAAGCCAAAGTACAGCAAAAACACCACCACTGAGGCCTTTTTGCAGCAGTATATTAATAATCAGCTAGTATAAAGTCACAGATCTGTATCAACCAGCTTCTTAAAATAAAGCATTTATTAGAAATGATGCTGTTCAGAGGCAGAATATTACTTGATTTTACTGTGACCTGAGCTACAGGGACTAACGGGGAAGACCGAGACAATTCCCTGATATCACATTGTTAAAATCCCTTCTATATAAAAACACCAAGCACTCTAGTTAGAAAAGCAAAGCTGCTGGCAATCAAACATTTCATTTTAATCTGAAAAAGTATACTTTATGCATACATTTGCTCAATCAGCAAATATTACAGGACAAAAACATTGTGAACTTGACTTGATCATGATTTGAACGACACTTGATTTCATTTGAAACATTACAGATTTTTACTCTAAAGTGAATTTTATTCATCCATGCCATAACACTTCATACAGTTTCTTACAATGTGGATCTAAGGCACCAGAAGAGACAAATCAGAATAGTATACTACTTACTGTATACTGCAGAAATAGTATGCATATGACCACTACATTTGCAATATATACCAGCACACTGCATTTCCAGTGTGACTACAGTAGGATTCAGTACGTAGTAAGCGACTGTTTCCTTCTGAACTCAAGTGTACTAACAAGTGAACGAGGCGGAGGATTAATTCAGTTCAACACTATTTTTTGCTACACATTTACACATCAAACTACATTAATGTAAGCATCTGAACTTGTGAAAATAATAATTTACAAGAATGTAAATTGCAGCATGCAAATGTATTGACTAATTTCTGAAAATGACAGTATGAAGCAGGGAGTGCATTTTACAACGGCAATGGAGAGAGAAAATCTCGCTGGTTTTACAAACCATTTGGCTCGACTTACTTGTGTCACAGGCAGTTGTTGATGATCGATATCATCAGTACCTCTATTCTTTACCTGAGACCTCATGGAGCACAGTACAGTAAGCATGTGAGGATCCCAAACACCCCGAGACGAGATTTTATGGCAAAAATATGGAAGCTTGTTTCCACCACGGAAAGAAAAAAAACAAGATAATTGCAATTTTTTATTTCACAATTTGGATTTTTTTTTTCAGATTCAGATTTTTTTTTTTTTTTACGAGTTTGTCATAATTCTGACTTCCTTTTTCCTTTACATCTCACAATTTTGACTTTTTGTCTCAGAATTCTGAGTATATATCTTGTAAAGTTTGAAGACCAAAGGTTGGTGGTCTGTTAAGAACATGTACTGTACATAAAAAATGATATAAAAATATTTCACCAATATTTTGAAATCTAAAATTGCTATAAAGTCAAAGACATGTGTCTAACTATGTTATGTTCCAAATTTGAAGTTGATATCACAAAAATCAAGATTCCCCTGAGATTTTAAGCATAATACCAAAAATAGCCACCGGGTGACACTCAAATACTTCAGTTTACTTTTTGATGCAGTTTCCGGTTTTGAATGATATATTTTTTTTTAATTTAGGATGATTACAAAAATATGTAAGGGGGGGAAAAAAGTCAGCAAAAAAAAAAAAAGAGCGCCAAGTGTCCCACTAATTCTTTCAGAATTGTTGCAATTACCCTTATTTATCCCATGACAGAAACAAGCTTCAATAAAAATGATCACTTATGTCATACTAGTCAAGAGGAAACAGTCGGGATGAAGTACAAATGGACGATTCACCATTAGTAAAACTCATACAACATAATGAAATCTTCAGGATTATAAGCCACTCCATTTATCTTTCCGATCAGGGTGGAAATGCGCAGGTCCTCACGCTGAATTAAAAAGGAATGTGGAATTTACAACATTAATTCCCATGCAAATGTCGTTCCATGACAAATCTTCCCCCATATTTACATAGCACTGCATAAAACTTTCATTTCACAACATCTGCTATATATATATATATATATATATATATATTAATAAAGATACCTTTGTTTTAGTAGAAAAAGACTACATTTCAATCAACAATGTCATAATCTCGGTAGTGCATAATACCTAGATGCATACAATGTTTTAGCCGTTAAAAAGCATTTATCAAAAAATCAAAACGATGTCTTGATCACGCGTCCGCTATTTACAGGGTTGCAAAGCTTCAGCATTTCCAGTTACAAACATAACCTTACTGTTTAAGTGCATCCCTTTACAGGAAAGTGGGTTCACGGGTACAGCTAGTTGCGTTGTATAAATGTGACACGGGATGTTCAGGTTGACAACAATTTGCAGCGACAATACGACCTGAAGTTATTTGTTTTGAATAAGATGTAATTTTTTTGGTGACTTGATGCTTTCAGCTTTCAATTTTATGCAAATGAGATGCAGCATGCTGTGGAACGAATAGCAGCCAAGAGACTCGATGACCTCCAGCAGTTTAATCACTGTCAGTGTGAACGCATTTTTAAATTGAATCACTTGCTTTACGAGGTTGCAAACCAAGATGCGTTTTCCAAGTACTTACTAAAAATCATTACACTTTTTTTCTCATGCAAAAAATAGTTTTTTTGAAGTGAAAATAGACAATAATAAGTTATTGCTAGTAATTGTTCACAACTTCGGAACAGTAAAGCTGGTGACATGGAAAACAAAACATTCACAAGAAATTAACTGAAGGTGTTGGTTTACGAAGCCCCTAAGGGGACATGGTGATGGAAAAAAATGAGATTGGATGACAAATGCTTTTGCTTTCTCTCGCAAAAATATTGCGATCCCCGAGTAGCTTTGCGTTCACTTGGAAAACATTTGCGTTTTCTTGCAAACTATTTTGTTCCCCCGAGAAACTTTGCGGTTACTCGCAAAACACGTGTTCCCCTGAGAAACTTTCTTGCGAACATTCTTTCGCAAAACATTTGCGTTCTCTCGCAAAAGTACTGCATTCCCCCGAGGAACTTTGCGTTTGCTTGTAAAACATTTGCATAAAACATTTACGTTCACCCACAAGATATTTGCGTTCTCTCAGGAAACTTTGCGTTTGCTCTCAAAACATTTGCGTTCTCTTGCAAAAGTATTGCGTTCACCATCTAAAATTTCCATTAACTCGTAAAACATTTGCGTTCTCACTAAATATTTGCATTTCCCTTTGCAATGTTTTGCGAAAGAAAACAATACTTTAGCAAGCATACTCGAATGTTTTTTGAAGTTGAAGTTTCTTGGGGGAACTCAATACTTTAGTGACCAAACGCAAATGTTTTGTGAGCAAATGCAAAGTTTTTTGGGGCAATGCAATATTTTTAAGAGTGATCGCAAAGGTTTTTTGTTGGAACGAACAAAAATGTTTCGTGGAGTAACGCAAAAGGTTTGTAATCAAACTCAAAATTTCTCAGATTAACAAATAACAATTAACAAACAAAAAAATAATTTTACAAACAAATATTTTTTATCTCCTATCCCATGTTATTTAGCATCGCTATGTCCCTTTAGAGGCTCCATATTATTTCTAGGAATCCAATTTTTAGCTTAATTTTAGAATGGCTCTTTACACAATCTCAAAATTAATTTTACACAATCTAATCCATCAAATGCCCCTTTATGTACTGTTACACTCTTAGGGCCGGTTCACAGAGTATGTTTTTGTGTTAAAAACGTGAGACAGTGCAGTAGATGGGGGGGGGGGCCCCGAAAGGTCTCAAAACATTGTTTTAACATGAGTGCAGTCTCATGAGAGAGTCACCGTAAAACATGCGAGTGCAGTGGTCAAACATGTCTGTCTAGCGCATGTTTACATAGAAAAATAACGGAAAAGCGTCACAGTATAATGCAAAAAATGCGTTCTGTGTGAACGGCCCCTTACGCAACAACCTTTTAACGTAGATAACTGCACATAGAGTTTACGTTTACAAAAGGCGGTACGACACAGACATTTTTTAATTAGCTTCTGTTCCTGGTTTATATAGGGAAGTAAAAAACAATGAGACGTTTTTCACCGCGATGTCGAGACTAGGCACTGTGGTTCTGAGAAAATGTCAAGAACGGAGAAGAGTGACAGACTACTGGAGGGACAGACAGACAAACGGTGTGAAACTTATCCTTAAGACAGGAAGGAAATTAAAGCAAGCTAGGCTTTGCATCTGCAGCATGCAGTATGCAACTCCGTGCAGTGATTTCTGAGTCACTGCACTGAATGTTTCCTTTAAAAACGACTATATATTATAAAATGGTTATCAGAAACGGGCTCTCCGTGCAGTGTCACGCTTGCGGTATAAATGCTGTAACAGGCCTCACTTGTCGTTTCCTCACTCCTTTAGCCCTTTAAACAGTAGATTACTGTAAAACTGCACAACCTGGAGCGCTTGTGCTCTGTCAGAAGGCATCGGTCCTGAGGTATTGATCTGCTTTGTATTTGAGCACTGCATTTTATAACTCGAAAACTGCAGTTACGGACTGAGACCGTAATACTGGGAGTGAGCCGATAAAACTATAAATAATTCATGTTTTTCACAATAACGGGAAAAAGAAACCACTAAACATTCGCAAATGTTGAAATATGACTGAATTAAGATGAGGAATAACAACGTTAACCATGAAGCAAAATCCCTGTAGCTTTGCAAAACGGTCAGTTTCACTAGTTACGGCGGATCTACGTGGAAGTCACTTGGGTGAAAACTGCGTGTTTAAAGCGTACACTATCAAAAGTTACCATGTCAATATTAAAAAATCATATTGCTGTATGAATAAGTTGGATTTTAGGGTTTCTATTCACAGTTTCTGGCCCAAGGGACCAGTAAGTAATTGTAAAATATCCAAAAATCTTAATTGGCATTGTCTTGTTTTGTTCTCTTTAAACCAATAACCGCAGAAAGCATTGTTTAACTCAACATTAATGAAGAGCCCTGATGTTCCTGGCGTTTTCATCCAGAAATCCCAAAAATAGTGGTTCACATGACGCCCCTTAATAAAAGATCACAGTGTAGCTGTGGAGGGGACTTGTTTTGAGGGCCCCTGAGAGAAACGGGCCTCTCCAAGCATGTCGTCTTCTAGAAATCAAGCAGAAGAATGAGCCAAAAGCGACTCAGTACATGTCTCTGTAAATCTCCTGCAGTAAGGGATGCAGCGAAGTGTCTTCTGTCTTTTTGATTTCCTGCACTAACTGAGCGTGCTCCGTCACCAGCTGCCGCAGGTCCACTAGTTTCTGCAGGAGTTTAGGGAAGAGGAATCCGTTGTCGGGATGGTTGCTCTTGAGGTGCAGATGAAGCACGTTTACGATGCTCTCCTGCATTCGCTCGATGTGCGGGACGTTCACCAGGCCTGGCCGATCTGGAAGAGCAGGAGTCTGAAATAAATCACTGGCAAGCAAAAGCTGGTCTATTCTTTTTAAAGAAAAAAAAAATATTAGTAAAAGTATCTATTTATAAATAATACATAAATAATGAATGAATTAAATATATATATATATATATATATACCTGTATATATAATAAATAGAATAGAAAAACATTTCATAAAAATATCTTAATATAATAATACTATTTATAATAGTATAATAATAATAATAATATTGTTTAATAATATAATGTAATACAATATACACACATTTTATTTTACAAAAATGTTAAACCAATATACCTCCACAGCAGATGATGGCAGCAACAAACAATGCGAGGTCACTATCGTCCAGTTCGAGGGAGTTAAACTTCATTGCAAACTGAAACTTGGGCTCCATCATTTCACTGAACGGCCGTCGCAAGCTCTTCAGGAACTCTCTGGTGATGAAGCCGCTGCCGTACGCGACCAGCAGACCGTCTTTATTCATGCATGATGCCAACATGGCGAAGAGCGCCTCATGGACGCCGTACTTTAATAATGTCACCTGTCGGAGAAAACAGGCTGCATTCAATGAAGATGTTTATGCAATATGTGCATATCTGAAGATTTTCACTTTCTTGAAGCTTGAAGTGTTTATGGGACGCGGTGCTCGTTTTCGGCACTAACCTGGTCATTTAAATCCAGGTTTGAGAAGCCTGGCACGGACTTGGCGAATTCAGTCAGTTCGGTCACCGTCTCGACCGAAGTGCACTGACAGCAGTGGAATATTCGAACTTCCGCGTCTTTATTCAGCAGAGCCCCAGAAGAGCTCACCATCTTGGCCACAAGAGTCTGTTCGGCCAACTGCAGCGTCTCCATGTCGTGGATGACAAAAGGCTACAACACAATGAGAATGAAGCATGAAGATCAAATTAAGAATAAACTGCTGTATAGTGGTCGATAGGTTTTTCAATGGCAGATGACAATATCTAGAGTAAAGGGAGACAGGTGGGCAAAAAATAAAAATTAATTCAATACAATTTTAAAAAATTAATTAAATTAAATTAAATTAAAGAAGACAAGCACTGTTCTACCAACATTCTATTTCAATAATCTGAAAAAAAAATAAAATAAAATAAAATAATAAAATATAAGTATGTATTGGAAACAGATTAAAATACTGGCTATACTGTATAGAGAGAGAACAAGTTCAAGCCTATTTTCAAGAATTATATATACATTAGGGCTGTCAGTCGATTAAAAATTTTAATCTAATTAATTACATGATGTGTTTGTAATTAATGTAAATTTGGCTGTGATATTACCCACAAAAAATTATTTAAAGTCATTATTGTGTTAAATGAGAAAGTATCAAGTAGACATTACAAATTGTAGCTTTAGACAGAAATATTTTATTTGATTCAACATAAAATTGTTAATACATAATTGTTTACTCTACAGTGGCCTAACATGAACCTATAAAACATAAAAGAAGATAGTTTGAGAAACATCTCAGTATTTTTTGCTCATACAATGAAAGTCCAAAACAGCTTAGTTAACAACAGTCTTCTTTTTTTTTATTTTTATGAAATGATACTCTAAATAAGAAACTAAAACTGCCAGCAGGTGGTGGTAAATGCCTTTATACATCATTCATTTGTTAATTCATGATTCATTCAGGAATGAAGTAAACGACTCAGTTTATGAACAGGCTATTGAATCATTGGATTTGTTTAAAACGCGGAATCATTCAGAAACTAAACACCGCTGTGTTGCTCACAGACGCTTAACAGTTCGGCGGTGGCTTTAAAGGTAATATTTTCTATGCAAAATTGAGCAAAAAATAGGCCTATAACACAATATTAACTACTTATTTACTGAACTGTTGTATAAAATCACATTTAAACTCATGACCGAGTTTACATTTACATTTAAACACATATATTCGTGACAAAACGGCACTCGTGTGATATTGCTCTCGCTGCTCATGTGGTATCGCTTATCATATGATATAAATATGAGACAAAAACTCATAGGGGCATTTTTGCCCCAATATCTTGAATTTTAGGAGCATAACAGTTAACTGTATGAAATGTAAGATGACGTACAGGTCTGGGGGCGGGGCCAATGCATTAACTGCGTTAAAATATTTTAATCGCGTTATTTTTTCGTAACTAATTAATTAACGTGTTAAACTGACAGACCTAATATATATATATATATATATTAGTAAAAGAATATACATAATTATATATATATATATATATATGTATATGTGTGTGTGTGTGTGTGTAAAACAATAGAAAGTAAGAATACAAATGAAATAAAAGAAATAGTAGTAATAACTATTATTATTATGTGTATATGCATATGTAACAGCCCCAGCTTCCTGTTTCGATACTTTCTTGAACTTGTCAAGACATTTAAATGGTTCAAATGGACGATACAATACAAAAACCTCAACCTGAAACCGTTCAGATGACGGCATTTAGTTCAAACAGGACTAAAACTCGAAATGCTCCCCGCCTCTGTAAGAGAGGTCAGCACGACACCCCGAGAGGCTGGTTTGCGGGCCGTGAGAGAACAAGAGTACTGTGAGAGATGAAAGGCTCGTCTTAATTCAGCTGCTCTCACTCCCAACAGCTGGGCCGTGTCCTGCGGAGCTCAGGCCGAAGAGCACAGCCAACAATCAAGCTAGTGTTACAGATGCGTGAGGGGAAACACGTCTGAGGTGGAAACTCCAAAGCCCCGTCCCATGAGCCCTGTGTCATATCAAGCTTCTTTAATAAAGAGTTCTGCTTTATCGATGGGCTTTGTGCTTTATAAGACGGTGTAGAGCGACATGAACATGATGGAGAAAACGGAAAAGCGTAATCTGATGATGCAGCTTCAGAGCTGAGTAGTAACATATTACATGTATTCTGGATTACGTAATCAGATTCCAAAAATGAAGTACTTGTAATTAGATTACATTTCAAAATACTTGTAATCAGACTACAGTACAGTTATGTATTACATGATTACATGTTTACACAATAGCAATAAATTAATCAAAATTGATTGATTCTCCCTAATTCTTCTTTTTCATCTTTTAAATTTCCTTTCTAAAATATTATACTATTATACTATAAAAAGCACAAATTAACGTTATTTCTTTACACTTTGCATGTTGCACACATTTGCATGCTCACGGTTCTCTGATGTTGGTTAATGGTCACATGACATGCAGATAAACAAATAAAATATTGAATCTTTTTTAGTAAGTGTTTTGTTTTGATTGCTGTTATTTAAAAAATATTTATTTTAATTTTAAATGTTTATGATTTCATTAATTATTAGCTTTTCTTTTAACTCACAAACCCCCTGCAGTTCATATTAGTGCTGTCAAATAATTAATCGCGATTAATCGCATCCAAATTAAAAGATTTTGTTTTTGTGTACTGTGTATATTAATTATATATATATAAATACACACACATGCATGTATATATTTAAGAAAAATATGTTGTTTATATTAAATATATTTAGATATAATATAAATTATATGAATATAAATATATACATATAAATACTAGAGCCCGACCAATATGGTTTTTTTGGGGGGCCGATACCGATATTAGGGAGTAATAAAAGACCGATATCGATATATCGGCCGATATTTTTTATGTGTAGGCTATATTATAGTATAGTATAGTCAAAAGTTTGGACATACTTCCCATTCGTGTGTCCAAACATTTGACTGGTACTGTATATAGAATACAGTATATACATTGTGTTGCATATTTTCTGGTAATCAAATGAACATGCAGAACATTCATATTTAAATAAGTCTATTTGCAGTTTAATATTCACAGACAGTCTATATATATGTAGTGACCTATTTTTTATTTATTCATCAAAAATAAGACAAATTCCATGAAATTCCGCGTTATACAGTAAATTCCGTTTTTAT